CTCCTCTACCTCGCGAGGTGCTCCTCTACCTCGCGAGGCGCTTCTTTGCCTCGCGAGGTGCTTCCCTTACCTCGCGGAACACTCGTCTACCTCGCGAGGTGCTCCGCTACTTAGCATACATAAAAATTATATATGAAATAGGGGTAGAAAGGACCGAAAAATATAATACACATATAATTCTTTTAAATTCGGTTGATTCAGGTAATCGCGCCGGATCGCGGGGATATTTTAACAGCTTGAAATCGACTTCGCCGTGTGACTCGATAATAAAGCGTAGGAGCGTGTTTCCGCATATATTTGAACAGGTATTTAAGTCGAACATCCAGAGAGGTACGCGCAGCGAGTTTAGAAAGATGTATAGAGAGATAAGCGAAGATTGTCACGTTATTATTATGATAATTGGCGGTCGATAGGGATATCTTATCGCAATACAAACGTCGGTGATGTAAAATAACGAGAGAGAGATGGGCTGCTTGGAAATTCATTACTTAAAACTCGTTTTAAATGTATATAACTATAGTGCCGGAATTCGGAATGGAATTCCATATTTATAATCAATGTTTTGTATAATAAGAAAAATAATAATAGAAAAATCAGAACACACATATACAACAAAGCAATATTAATAAATAGCGATTAATTAATATATTAATGTTTAGTAATTAATAAAATAACCAATATATAATAAATAATATATACATAAAGTATATATACATATGGCATATGCATAAATAAAATTCAATTAATTAGATTCTGTCCTGAAACTTGCAGATCGGCTGAAGTGAGCCCCTTAAAATTACTTTACAAGCGCAAGGATAAAAACACAAGCAATTAACAGCATATCGCATGTAAAGCAAAATATTCAACAAATTTCTCGTGTAAGAATAGTGTAAGAATGTGTAAGAATTAAGATTTTCCACGTCTTTTTAAAATCATATCCTCGATAATAGAAGTTAGTATCTAATAAATATAAAAAATTTGTCAAGATTTTAGGAATTTTCCTTACACGTATAGAACATTACCTTTTATTTCGTAACGTATAAAGATAAAGTATCCGCTACGAAGAAGGCGCTACGATTTCAAAACAACGTCGTCATCGGTACGTCTCATTTAAATTCATTGAGTATAAATAGCAGTTAACACGCTCAAATAACCCTTCTCTATTATATAAATCTCACGATCTATATATCGCATAAAGGCATGCGACGCGACGCCGCGCTAATGACATTGACGGAACCAACAAACACGAACGAAACAAATTACCGAACGGAATATCACTCAGGCGCGATGAAGACGACAAAAAGTCGCCAACCGTCCAATAGCGTCCCAGATACGAGAGTAACGACCAATCGCGTTGCGCACATCGAGACACGTGACCGAGCAGCGCGACCAATCGCGCGGCTTCGCCCGCGTCACGCCGCCAACTTCGATCCGCGTCGCGTCTAGCGTATCGCCCAGGTTCGTGGACGAGTGCGGAGGCGCGAGGCCATTGGCGGCGGGCTGATTCAAATCGGCCGGCCGCGCGGTGCGGCCAATCGCCGCGCGGCGCCGCAGTGGCTCGCGTCGCGCGCCCGCCAATCAGTCCGTGATGTTGCACGCGAGGATCGTCGCGGCGTCGCGCCGCGTCGTCGAGGCACGGCCGTTCGCGCGGCTCCGCGAGGCCGCCGCGTCTCATGGAGCGTCCAGGCGCACGGTGGGCGATCGCGCCCTCAACCGCGGCCGAGTGTCGCGCGAGGACATGCGCGAGAATTATCTGAGGGTGCTCGAGAAGTTCAAGTGTGAGTAGCCAACGGTCCCGTGGCCGCGCGGCCATGCCAGTGTCAACACGTCAATCGGCGACATTCACACACGTGTTCTCACTCGTGTTAGTGACGTTTGCGTCCGCGCCGTGTTTATTTGTACGTCCGTCTCGCTCGCACGCGCGGAGGGTGCCGCGCATGCGCCCGCCGCGTTCGATATATCGATAGGGCACGCGCGCGCACGCGACCTTGACGCGCCGCGCATGCCGAGCGAATTATTGGCACGCGGATCGATCACCCTCCCCGCGGGAGTGGCGGTGGTGGTGGTACCGTTACGCGCATCTCCCCCAACCCCAGTCTCTCCGCCGGGGTCGTCGGAGAGACGCGGACGGGATCACCGATTGAGTCTCTTTCTCTCTAGAGCGCACATTTTAGACGCGGACGAGAGACGCGTGCGATTACGTATGCGACGGCGATGAGGGAAATTTTGACCGATCGCCAAGCACTCGGGTACACGTGTCCGAGAGACCGCTCATCGGCGTGGGCGATTACCTTTTTCCCATTGAAGGATGTCAAAATGATTGTTCTTTTTTTTTAGCAAGGAACTGATACGAAGTAAAAACCTATGATGCTGCGTTCCATTTAGGAATGAATATTCAAAGAAAAAGAGAGAAAAGGACACTTCCTTTCCTTAACGCAATCTGAAATGCAAATTTTGCCTCAAAATTTTCAAAATATGTAAAACCTCCATAAATATATATAATGTATACATATTTTATCGCCTATAATATACAAATATATAATATAATTTTATCGTCTGTAATTGTAGGAATTAATGGGTACGTTTATATTGTCACCCATAAATTCGATGAGCTTCGATAAATTAAAGAAACAGGAGGCACTGCCATCAGGAGAGAGAAAAAAACGATGCGCGTTCACATAAATTTGACGCGGGCGCGAAAAACATGGTGGCCCATCGAAATTTCAATATTAAATGCCCGTGTGTCTCTCCGGCCGCGTTGACAAACTTACGAGCCGCAGCTCGTATATTTATCGTCGCGGTCGGACGACGCGAGAGATAACGACGTGCCGTCGAAACGAACAGGAAAAGTACATAAATTAATCATGAGAATGTGTGTCTCTCGGATCACCCGACACATTCCCGCGATCGTCTTAATTAATTTTAATCCGCGCTGAGACGAAGAGCGGCGTAAGGAGGGCGGCCGCGCGCTGCGGAGACAGATTAGATTTTAGATCGCGCGGAGATCGGGTCTCTCACGGCACGGCGACGGAGAGGAGCGACGAATGTGATGCCGGGCAGAAAAATCTAGGACAGTGAAAATCGGCCCCGGTATCGCGCGCATCTATAGAACGAAACGGGAGCACCGACGCACCGAATTGATCGCCAGTTAGGTCTGGAGGAGTAATAACTGTAGTTCATTCCAATCGAGGACTCTCGAGGCGCTCGCGCGAAATTAAGATCGGACGCGAGCGATATCCGATCCGCATCCAATTCGCGGAGAAGCCGCGTCTCCCTTTACCGCATCGCGCCGCAGAAACCCGACTTTTATCTTAAGATCAGGTGTCCCGTGCCTTTTTTTTTTCTTCCCCAGAGCTCCCAGATTAATTATCGTCGGTTTTTTTTTTTGCAGCGAAAAAACTGCCGCAAGATGTGAATGCCAAGGGCGTGTTCGCCTGCAACGAGCTCGACTTAAAAGAGGTCCAGGTGTATGGATTCGATTACGATTACACGTTGGCGTGTTACAAGCCGTCTATGGACTACTTGCTTTACAGCCTGGGACGTGACATGCTTATTAAAAAATATAAGGTCTCTACTTTGTAACAAATTCGCTTACTAATCAAATCGATACGATACGTAGGCTTGCACGCGTGCGATTTTTTTGCTTCTTCTACATCTCACCTCGAGTCAACTTTTTGTGAAAATGCTAGCATCTATAATCATTTTCAAGAAAGTTATTATTTAATTCTATATGAAAATAGTTTCGATGTATAGAATTAAATAATTTTCTTTACCTTTTACTATTGCTTTCCATAAAACAGAAAATAGCTTCTGTGAAAGATAAAAGAATTAAATTATAAGAGTACGTAAAGCTTGTCCTTTATCTCAAAGTTATTCAGAGATTCTCCCGAAATCAAAGGACAATTACGGCCGATTAGAATTTCATCTTGAAATTCGCTTAAACTCGCTTAATTATTCCAGTATCCAGAGGGAATTGCCAATCTACAGTACAGAGAAAATTTCGCCGTCCGCGGCCTCCATTACGACATCGAGAAAGGTCTCCTGCTGAAGCTCGACAGCTTCTTGCAAATTCAATTGGGCGCCGTTTATCGTGGCTTGCATCCCGTGCCCGACGAGGAGGTCCTCCGTCTCTACAAGAACAGGACAATGCCGATAGCTTACGTGGAGGCGCCCCATAAACACTCTCATGTAAGTTCGTTATCGAAGAACCCCCCCCCCCC